TCGAGGGTTGGATAATTTTACCGGGACCGGAAGATATCGATCCGTGGCCTTTAACCTTCCGTCGAAGCGTGCACGCCGATTAAACTATTTCAGGGCGAGACCGGTTTATTTTACGGCGGCGGCTGTCTATGGCGTAATAATGTGAATCTACAATTACCATCCTCGCGCGATGCAACGGGAAGCGACGGGACGCGACGCTATGCATCGGGATGCCGCGCGATGCGGCGCGATGCGCCGCGACGCGACCGGCGAGACAACGCGCCATAAAAGCGTCCGGAGGCTTAAGCGCCGATACGATTATAATATTCAATCGGTGGCCCCGATAATGACGGGACCGGGAGCGTAAAACGCGGACCCGGGCCGCAGTTCGCCGCAGACAGATAACACTTCGCGCCGGTGGACCGGTGATCGTTTTATCAGCCCGTGGCTGGCTGCGCTCTGCCAGCGGAGCAAAGTGTTCCGGAGGCCGAGCCGCGTGGCAATTGCGCATTAAACAAAGCTCCGCGTTATAATTGGAATCGGGGGATCGGCCACGGCGACCTGCGCGAGCTCCCTCACCTGGCTCTGCCTTTTTCCGACATCTCCTACTGCCTCGTGCCTGTTCGACGTGTCGCCAATTATTCAACGAACCGCCCCGAAATTCTGCTAAACAGAATCGCCCGTGATCCACTTCGCTGCGAATATATAATTTACGTTTTATAAAGAGGCGACGCCGATGAGCATATTTGCCCGGCGATAATCACTTTTCCTTCTTTCTCTAGCACCGCTGATCAGCCGACTGGCTCTTTGTACGCGTCGATCATTATTCACAGGCGCTGATATATTATATTTTTCTGAATGGAAATCACTGAATGTGCTTTTCACGCTTCGGGACTCTGCTTGGAACAACGTAGCTGGAACTGGCTCGACGGATTCCGTAAATCTTGAACGAGAATATCCGAGGCTGCAGCCTTTTATGAAATTTTTATTCTAATACTTTTTAAACAAAGAGCTGTTCGTATATAAAGGAATACGGGGTTTATTTATCTTTCGCGGTACCGTATCGCACTGAAAGCTTGCGAGTTTTCGAAACTTTGATAGTTTTACGAAAACTAAATTGTCCAAGAAAAAAATCAAAAAATTGTGATGAATTGTCCAGTAGAAGATCTCTAATTTCTCTTCGAATTTATAAGTGATATAATCTGTACTTATTAGATTTTCAGTGGAACATTGTCCAAGGAGAATACTGAAAATACGAATACGAGAGAAAAATTCAGGCAGTTGAAAGAGAAATATGGAAGAAGACGGAAGGAGAGGCACAGAAAGGCAAAATTAAATTGAAGAATTTAAAGAGCTAGAAGATATATGTTATAATATTCACTTGCTATCTCTGTAGCATGATAGCGCTACTTTATTGTCTCCTCTGCGATCCTTTGTAAATATTCTCCTACTTTAGTATCGCTAGCAACCTAATCAATAATAGTTTTATTACAGTAATGTCTCTCAGATTGTGCACGAAAATGGACAATTTTGGAAGAGGAGATTTATAAGAGGAGATTAGACTCCTTTTATAGTTGTTAACAATTCGTAACTATAAAAACAAACCGCAAGACTCGAATAATCGTATCTCCCCTTCCCAAATTGTCCATTTTCGTGGACAATCCGAGCGTCAATTAGAGAGACATTACTGTATCCGTAGAATAAGCAAACACAAAAGCTTTCTCTCCTCGTTAAAATCAACATCCAAAACGAATGGAAAACAGTTTATGTTATTATATTCACTAAAGAGAAATGGGGAAAAAACACACAAAAAAATGAGATCACGCAGAAAGTGTATTAAATAAAGAAGTAAAAGATTTTGAAAATATCCTAGCAAAAGGAGAAGAAAGAGAAACGAATATAGTAACTGAAGATCTAAAATCAACGTTAAAAAGAGAAGAATTAAATAGTTGAAAACCTCCTACAAAAGTTAGAAACCAAAGCGAAAATAAAAAAAGCAAGTGTGCACAGAAAACGACAGAACGATTCAAAGAAAAACTGAAAGAATAAATGGTTGAATAAATTGAGCACCGTGGAGAAGAAGATGCAGTCGAAGCGTGACAAAATATGCAACATTGTCCATGGAATAGCAACAATCCTCTACGACGATTTCATGTGTTTTGGAAGTGCGAACTATCCAGAACAAGCAGTCGGTATACTCGCGACCCAACACAGTCACAACACAAGGCGAAATCGGTTTTCGTTGGAGCGTCGCGACGTCAAACCCCGAGAATTTATTAACCCCCGGCGCGGGGGATGCAACCACCGCAAACTTCTCGCGGATGAAACACGCGGATGCCGGGGGCCATGGGGGGAGGGGGGACGCGGGACGAGGGGGTATAAGGGCATTGTCGACGCCGCGAGGACTAACTCGGGGAAAGTTTAGGTGAACGGAAAATCGTGCCGCGACTGCGAATACACGGCGACGCGAACGATACTGCGGTTCCTTCCGACTGTTCGTTGATCCTGCGGGGTTGAATGATGCATCGAGCACGCTCTGCGTTCCACCCAAAGTTTACGTCGCATCGGGAAAATAAATTCTTACATGTTTTTCGTATTTTCAGTACTCTGTAACTCTTGCATCGACTACAGAAATGTTTACAATAATTAATATTCTCGTGTTTTGTTTAGATTCGCTACTACATAATCTTGACATTAACCAGATAACCGATGTAATCTCTATGTAAAGTGTGCAAGTTATTGTAATCATGCTATATTCTCGAACTTCGCACCCTCATCTCTCATTGGACAGTGTTTTTTGTTAATAACTCGTAAACGAAGCCGCGGATTGCATTTTCGATAAGGAAAAAGTTGCTTCAAATGACCTCAGGAATCCCCTACTTTCGGATTGCGAGACATTTTTGGGACACCCTGGGACACCCTGGGACACCCTGTATATTGGAAATACCCTCTAACCTGAGCATAGTAAACCTTAAGTGTGTATATTATACACGAACGAAGCTAGAGGAAAAAATGATAGCTGATCTCACTCGATCAAAATGATAGGACACATCATATATTTTCCATTATTGTGTTCTCTATTAGTCGTTTCTCAGCATTGACTACATGCGAACGTGTTAATCTGTCATTTATCTACAGTATTGGTGCAGTTAACACGTTCCGTGCCGAGCTTTTTTTACTCGAATCTTCACACTTTGATATTTTACTAAAACTTGATGTATTACGTGCAATTATTAATTCTCGTACACATAACAACATAACAAAAACTTATCAACGCCCATTCTTGCGGTGGAAATTGATTCTTCGGTTCTAAATTTCTTGTAAACAATTTGTTCAGTTCACTAAGTAAACATGCAAGCGTGTACCATCGATGGTACACGTGGCACGGAACGTGTTAACCAGTTAGCTGTGTTTGACGAGTATACTCGTCATGGAGAAATGGCAATATTTTGTAACACGACGAGTGCGTAAGAAGCAGCGACCATTGGCTATTTAAATTGTAATTTTAAGGAAAACAAAAACATATTCTCAAATTTCAAGATGTTCAGAATATTTTGAGGCCAATCCTGCACGAAGTTGTTTACATCGTTATAAAAATAAAATTAGAAAAGAATCACGGTATTGGTGTTCGACGTGCAAGGTGCCATTATATATTGTCCCTTGCTTTGCTAAATAACGCTCTCTCTACAGCAGCAATTTGAATTTTTAACTTTTATAAGTATTCGATTATCCCTGGGTTTTTCGTTTATTACGTATATGGTATATGTTAACGTCAAGTGAATAAGTAAATATTAGTAATAAAATTGTTAATTTTATCAAATAAAACCGTGTTTTTGATTCAATATTTTCACAGCGACACTTACATTGTGTTCGACGAGTATACTCGTCGTCGCTTGATTCTCGCGACACATGTAGGTGCGCGCTCTGAAATGGAGTCGCCACAGCTAACTAGTTAATCGAATAAAGATCTTATTAAGATTTCGAGTACAGTAATTCTCTCTAATTGACGCTCAGCTTGTAAACAAAAATGGACAATTTGGGAACAGGAGATACGATTATTCGCATTTTATCCAATATATTATTATACAGTTTTTATAGTCACCGATTGTCAACAACTATAAAAACGAGCCGCAAGGCTCGATTAACACTAGATTTACGGAACCCGTCAAAATGACGGGTCACTAATTCTTTGATTTACGATTATTCATATCGTAAAGATACTAAAGATACATTTATACAGTTAAAACAGTGCAAAATGGGTCGCGGAAAACAATTGAACAGAAGTGATCTCGATCGAATCTTATTATTGCGGTCAGAGAACTGTACCATCACGAAAATTGCGAAGTCAGTCCCCACCAAAACATTCGTATAGGTATGAATTTGAGCGTGTACCTGAAGATCGCCGTAGCCCCAGCAGTTGTAGCTGAAGGATTAGGTTGCGAGGGGGGGGGGAGAGAGAGAGAGAGAGAGAGAGAGAGAGAGAGAGAGAGAGAGAGAGAGAGAGAGAGTGTGTCGGTGTCGGTGTCGGCAAAACGCATGGCAAGGCAAGAAACTTTGCGAAGCCGGTTTCCGAGGTCTTTCGCGCGCCGAAATCGAAAACCGCCGCGCGACCCTGTCTAGATGGAAAACCGGGGGATGAAAACAGACGGGAGGGGGTCAGACGCAGAAATAAGCGCGGCGCGGCGGGGTAGAGGAAGGGGATATAAAGTTTCTGCGGGGAACTAGAGCCGAAGCACGGCGACGTGGCTTGCCAATAGCGTCGCGGCGCTGCGGCGCGAAATTTCGAGGCGCGTTAAGGAGGGCGTTAAGATATTAAATCCGAGAGCTTCGTCGGCCTCGGGTTCCCAACTAATTATGGAGTTGAGTGCAACCTTAGACCCGCGATCCACGGCCCCGCACGCTTTTCCGGGCCGCCCCGTGTTTCCGCCCCCGTTCCCGCGGGACCAGTCACCGATTGATTTAAGGCTTCACTCGCAGCTGCGAGCACGCAAAATTGGATGCGAGAGAACACCACCCCTTACCTTCCTTCCACGGCGTCCTAGTTTAGGTTTTTGGTGGCTGCCGGGGAAAAAAAGCCTCTCCCCAAGTAAACTACCGTCGAGGAGACTCGAAATTCCTTGGGGATCGTGGTTGATTTTAGGTGAGCTGTGCCGGTATCAAGTTCTCTTACCTGAAAGCAGAGAAACGAAAGTTTCGTTAGACATTTTTGTGGGGTGTGTTAACCTTACGGCGTGTTATTTTCTTTGTAGCTGCGGCGGTCGGGAATTCTTTCGCCTACGATAGAAGTAGAAAATTTACATCGGTCGCATGATCACATTCAATTTAACGCCTAAATGTTGGTAGCAGCCGGAGCAAATTTTATTTCGATTTAACCAGTTAACTGTGGCGATTTCTTTGCAAAGCGCCCACCAGTGTGTGTCGCGATAATCAAGCGTTAAATTGTGAAGTTATGAATCCAACTCAAATTATTCATAATTTTCATTTGTTTGTTTCATTTCATTCTCGACCTCTAAACATTTTAAACATATTAAAATTTACGAATATAATTTAGTTTTCGCTAAAATTACAATTGAAATATCAAATTGTAACAAAATTTTACGAATGACGGATATAATCGTCACGACACAAAATTCCGCCACATCTCCATGACGGATATAGTGGTCAAACACACTTAACTGGTTAAATTTAATGAAAAATCTTTATATTTATTGTAGTGGATTCTGTTCGAAATCTTCGTCCCGGGTCTGATTCTGTATTATAAGGGAAGGAGTTTTTAGGATGCTTTATGTGCGGGCGCGAATGTTGCCGAAACGTGACCGTATGTTACAATTTGTTATAAAATTATTTATTTAACTTTGATTAGATTCCTAGATCTCAATTTTCGGCTGTGACGTCAGAATCAAGAAAATCGTGAAACGAGATCACGGACGTATATCAAAAATATGAATTTATTAGGACATTAATTATGAAACTGCATAAACTTTAGAGTAAAACTATGAGGTATGCATTTCACACTCAATGACCTAATAAATGGTCCACTTAAGTATTGAGCAGCGTGCATAGCCATCCACACACTTTTTGTAAAATAATATTTTCGTCGAGCCATTAACTGTTTTCAAGATAGCGCCGGTAAATACGTTTTTCGTTCAATTCCAACTGAACAGGAATAACATGTTTTTAACGTTTCTGGTTAAATTGGCGAATCCGGGAGAATCTGGCACAGCACTGACCCCCGCAGTTCAAGATCCCCAGAAATTGTAGAACTCGAAGAACATTTATCAAAGAAAATAGGATCCCGAACCCGGAACGAAATTCCGGGTAGAATTTCAAATATTAATATCAAGAACCGGAATATTTTCGTAGAAGCCGCGGATGATTAATATCTCGGCGAGCATCTGCCGAAAAGGGGCCATACTTTTCCAGGAGTGTTCCGTGGTCGGGAAGCCGCTGTTAAATGAAGAACTCGCGGATTAGCACTCGCGGAAACGATCCCCGATGAATCACCGCGCGGAAACCGGTATGAATTGCAATTTAACGGCGGCGTTTGACAATCCTTAATTTACGGCGCGGACGTCCTCTCGCGGAAAACATTAATATCATTATATTAAACGTCGAAATCGTTCCCGCGGATCCTAGGCCGCTGATTACCCCTAGACCGAGCTGCACCGCCGCTGCTGCACCGCCGCTGCACGTAACGTGCACGTGCACGAATGCATTAATCTCGGCGCGTTCGCGTCGACGATCCTTTCCTGGCGATGCATAATGTCGTCCATCGCGGTCTCGACGTCGCCAGGAAATCCGTGGAACGAGCTTCGTCGAAAAAGCTTACGTAAATCGCGAGCGAGAACATCAGCTTTCAACGACGGAACCGTCGACGGTTATTGTTTCGTTTCTGCTCCGCGAACTCCATTGTCCGAGGATGTCCTGCGATTTTTCGAACCGATTTCTCCATGAACGAGTGGACTCGTGAGTTCGAATGAAGTCCTCGCACTTCAAATGTTTAAACGCTGCTACAAATTAACCCTTTACAATCGGAGCTATTTTAACTTCCTTTAATATAATCCGATTACATAGTTTTTCTGATCTCGATTTTAAAGAACCCAAGTGCATTTTATACGTATGAAATTGAATTTCGTGGCTCGTACAGCATTTTCAAATATAAACAAATTTGATAAAATTATTTTGAAACGTCGCATAACAATTTTCAGTGGCGCCTTACAGACGACACATGGGTGCAAAGGGTTCATATTACAATACCGGATGTTCTGGATTGCTACCTGTCATTTTGTGGATTCAGTATTGTTATTCATCGGAGTTTATGGGTATTTTAGAGAAGTTGTTTATTATCTTGAGATGCTAAGTTGTCAAATCAACTGATCTTCGCTGATGTTAATGTTTCTGTTACTCTGATGCAAAATGTATAAAGAATATACGTGTTCGAAGAATAACAATTCATTGAACAGCACCCTTTATTATTAGCGCTTTTAGGACATATGGCTAGGCAGATAAAATCAGTTCGTATGATAGATATGAGTTTACTAATGAAAACAGGATCTCGGTTAATTAGCTCAACTAATTTTTTATACGGTGGTTACGAGTAGTTCCACCAAGCTTTGAATCAATTATCCATTGGCAACGCTTGGAAATACAGTCGCTAACATTAATATTATTCTTTCTTCGTGTCTAGTTGCTCTTGGTTCTGGAAAAGAAACACAGCATTTCAGACCATTGCTCGAAGACCGAACAGTGTCCCGAAAGCCAATTCGAACCTGTACTCGATCTAAATCGATCTCGAAAAAGCCGAACCCCTTTAAATCGTGACAGAGTCCCGATAGAACCTTTTCCAGCTAACCCTTTCCGCACGGAAGGTCTCGAGAAGGCGTGTCGTCGTCGTCGGCTCCCAACCTCCCCGAAAGCCAGAACAGTGCTCCACGGAGCACTTTGCCTACAGCGAACGTATCAACGGTCAATTCCCCGCTCTTGTGCCCTCCTCCTTGCAATTTTCCGTCTGCTCGAGCTTGACCCGTACAAGTGCAAACGATCGAAAAGCCTTTGTCCCGTGAAACGAGGCTAATTTAAGTCGTCGCGAAAAAATCGAAAACCGGGACGGGCCATCAGATTTTCCTGCCGTTTCAGCTATCGGCTCTTTAAGGGCGGGATTAAATCGAGTTTGAACGAGTTCGGACAGGGCGGTCGGATGAAATATGTAGGACGTAAAGGGCACTCGGGCCGGGGAACGGTGGCAAGAAACCGCGGGAGCCGGATGATGGAACGACGTTTTCGAACTTTCTGAAAATTTCAGAATCGAAGAACGATATTTCTCGAGAGAGAGAGAGAGAGAGAGAGAGAGAGAGAGAGAGAGAGAGCCACGGCGGGGAGCCACGTTGGGGAGAGGGTGGCGGCAAGTTTTCACCGTGCCTCGAACAGCTTGTTCGCCGCGAGTTTTTCCCCGGGGCGAGCTTTCCGCTCGGCGACGACGATTCGAGTATGTAATAAGGTCGGCGACGGCCTCCGCGTCCGGCTCGCAAAATCGATCGGCAGGATAATCGGCCCCCGTGTTTCCCCTGGCCACGCGTTGCCCACGCGAACAGATTCCGTTACCGAGAGCTGCTCGAGAACCGCTCGCATGCGACGATATAAATAACGGGCCGCGTGCTTTTACGAGGCGAGTAAATCACTTTGTTGGCCAATTATAGGATTAATATTTATAGCGGCGACGTAACCGGCCCGTCATTGGCCGGAGGGACGCGCAACCGATATAAAAACAGTGCATCGCGCTCGGTAATTTACGGTCCTCGTCCTCGGTCGACGGCCACCGCTCCACAACAAGACGCTTCTTTGCGCATGAAATCCAGCCTTTCGACGCTCTGCCATAACTACGCCGCGCTCCTGTTTACCACGCGAATATCGTCTTTAGCCCGAGAAAGATAACCTACGTCGCAGAGGCGCCTGCGAAGACTGTTGATTTTTGTTAATTTTTCATAGAGGTCTAGTGATTTAAGTTTAAAATTACTTAAAATATAAAAAAATATAATATAAATGCATTTTATTTTTACAATAATGCCAAACCTTTAAAATGACTAGATTAACTTCAATAAATATCCATTGTTAGTATAAAATTGACGCCTTAGAAAAGCATGCGCCTCTGAAGCGTATGGTTATCTTTTACGTACGTTGTCATATGGTTATCTTTCTAGGGTTAACGCGCATGAGTTATTTCGCGGATCTCGATCGGCGGCGCTTCTTTCATTTTTCCCGTCCCGATTACCATGCGGCAACGTAGCCACGCGCCGATTTTTCTTCTACCGGCCGTTCGTTTATCTAAATAGGTAATCGCTCGAGCAGCTCATGCGGAGAAAAACCACGGCGACTTTATCGGCTTCGTGCAAATACCGACTTTTACGCAGACAAAGTTTATCCTCTTGCGATCCTTGGAAATAATTGCGCTCCGAAGATTCCAGCGTTTCGCTCGACGCGTAACGCTTTGTTATTTATTCGTAATGTTAAGCGAGCGCGTCGAACTGCCGGAGAATCGAAGGAGGATAGAATGTTTTACACTGTTTAGAATCGTAGAATGATGGAGTTAACCCATTGACTGTCAACTACGAGATGAAGTAGGTTCCTGATTGAAACAAGTTAAAACTTCAGATATAGTTCAGTCACTGTAATAAAATCGCAAACCAGAAACAGAGATCAGATCTTTATATATTATTTTTCAGAAAATGTGACTATTGTGTTTATCAAGTAGTAGCAAAAGAAACTTCAATTCAAAACATATGTTACCTATTATACTTATGTTTTTAATTCAAGTTTCTTTTATTACTTCTTGATAAACACAATAGTCACATTTTCTGAAAAATAATATATAAAAATTCTTTCTTTTAATTATTTGTTCCTCTTTCTATAAAGATCTGATCGCTGTTTCTAGTTTGCGATTTTATTACAGTGACTGAACTTTATCTGAAGTTTTAACTTGTTTCAAACAAGAACAATATTTCAATATTCTTTAATGTTTCAATATTTTGTAATGTTTCAATATTTTGTAATGTTACCTATTATACTTCACAAAATATTTAGAATGCGAGTTCCACGGTTGTAAAGTTTAGAAAGAAAGATTCTCTGCCGTTATTGTAAGGAATTGCGCCCAAAAAAATGAGCTAAAAATTTGAT